AAACTGTGTTTGATGCTACAAGAAAGATTTTAAAATACATAGATTTTGCAGAGTGACCTAAGAAATATTACTTAAGCCGGTACTAGAAGGCGTGCGAGATTTTGCACAACCTTTCATAAACAGACGAAATCAAGTCGAGTCTGCAATCGTTATCTTAAAGTTATTGATTGTATTGCATGAAACATATATGAATTTGACGGCGAATAGTAATTTTTGACGGCTAAGATAAAATAAACACTTTAATTTAAACCCTAATGTATTACTTCATTGGTCATTTCATTTCATTTTTTATGCAAACTGGTGTTAATGGAGTGTTGGAGATAAATACCAGTTAATGTACGCAGTTGAATTTGCTTTGACCAACAAATAAAATTTTTAAAAAAGTATTCTACAAGTGGTTTTCTTGCTGTCTGAATATTTTATTTTGTTACCCCGCCGATGTTAAGTCTGCGTAGTATACTTGTTTATTCTTGTATTATGTCAGTAATTTACTTTTTATTTACAGGTTGCCTCGAGAAAATGTTATAACTCACTTTACCTACAAGTAGACCCATTGTGCTGTCGGATAAAGACTGTATAAAACAATTAGAGCATGTGCAAAATAAGTTTAAGCTATACAAAACAGCATGACGACTTACTTGACATTGTTCTTTGTTTCAACCACACTCGGACTTGTTCACTAAGCTAACTTAAGTCGCAAAGGAAATGTGAAATCGTAAAAAAAACTTACGAGGATGGAGAATATGAAATTTTACGTCATGTTCATTTTGGGTGAAAACCCCTGCCGGAAACTGACAATTTGTTTTCAATATAAGCCATAAACATTAATCAAAGTATGTGTTCCTATGTGGAGTTCCTATCTTTTCTAGATGTGTTTCCTTCTTTTAAATAAAGCTTGTTGAAATTATAATTACGCAATATCTTAAAGAGAAAAGATTTTATCATTCCTTGATCTATTCATATCCATTGTACTTTCTGACTTATGTTCAGATCTACTTATTTCTTCCATGTAGATCTGATGACGACCGTATATGTTTCGCCTTTTTTATAATTTGGATTTCCCGAGAAAGCTATTTTTAGCCATGCAATCAAAGCGATTTTTACAGATAGGCATTAGAAGAAGTATCAAAACAACGTTATCCATGGAAGTTAAAACATTGTTGATTTGAAGTAATTTTTAACAAATTTACTTGAAATAATAGAGTCACTTTTAAATGGCAAGATTGTATTGACCGTTTATCTGACAACGTCATGTTTGTACTCGAAATTGTGAAAATTAACTACTGAGTGGTAAGAATTAGAAACCGCATCGCTTTCAAAATAATGAAAGCTCGCCAATAATTGGTTGTTTGAAAGACCACGAGAAGATGCCTATGGTAAAATGTTAGATCCTAATGTGTAGAGTAAATTTAAGGGGCTGATGTTAAATTTGATAATGATGAGATAATAAAAAATAATAATGATAATAATAATAAAAAGTTGACAAATTTTATGAGGTAAAGAATTAACATTTTGATGGAAGGAATTTTGGCTTTTCATTGTGATATTAACTTTCAAACATCGTTTTCTTTTTCAGAACAACTAGAGGTGAAGAATTTTAGCATTAACACTTTTTGGAACTGGCCAGTCACCCGTTTAAATCATTTTATAATGTAACTGAAAAGAGGATAAATGATAAGACTGATTTTAGTGACAGTAATTATGTTCAAGACGAGGATTTAATAGATGACGAGGAAGAGATCGTAAAAACTGCGAATGAAAGCTATATATCTTATTTTACTCTTATCATAATGTTCTTATCTATATCTGCTATTGCCCTGTGCGCTATTGCAATTTTCCATTTTTAAAATTAGGCGCCATCAGTTTTAGGTTCATTAAGAAATTTGTTGACTTTGAGCTCATGGGATTAATCTTTAAACAGCATGGTAATGCAATCAATGTAGAATTCAATGTAGAATTTCAATGCCTGATTTAATGTAGATTTTGTTTCAATGAAGAATTACAAAGAATTCCAGAAACAATTATTTTTCTTAAAGCTAACATACAATGTTTTTGTTATTTTACAAAATAGTATATTACATATGTCAAGAGAGTAAAATGTTTTGTAACAAAATATAATGTTGCTATTTTGAGTAGTGTTTTAAAGCTGCACGCCCCCAGATGAGCCAGAATATTTCAAGAAAACAAATATTGAGAAAAATGCAATAAACTTTTAAGACAGGTAAAATCATTCAAGGTCCAAGTTATATTTTACATGTAATGATCAGTTTAAAACAGATTTTGCAGTATATTATCACAATATTTGTACTGTGTTACTAACCAATAAGGGCTGTATTTGCATATGTTGACCATTTTTTGGTATTTTTCGTGGGTTTTAAGTTCCGACTGCAAATTCTTTATTTGTTCACCTCACATTATATTACTTTTAAATACATTTCCAAAATTGTTACGAAAATTAACATGAATCTGGAGGCGTGCTGCTTTAATAGTTTACCAATGATTTCGTGCTTGCGTAATTCGCTTTTTATCACATTTACGTTTTACTAATGTGTATGATGAAAGAAAGTAATAATATAGCCAGTTTCCTTTTCAAAGAAACATATCAAAAAATATTAATTGTCTCTAAAATTAAAAGCTGTTACTAGCTGTTGGAAATATGTATTTCAAAATGGGAAAAAAGAAAATGACTTCTCACTCAAAAATCCTCTTCACAAAAATATAATAACTAGAGAAAATATTGCATGTGGTGTTCACTCAGTGAAATTATATTCCAATCTTTTATGTAAAACAAATAAATTTTCTTTTTATTTCATGCTATTTCAGTGATTTTAAGTATTTTTTTACTGATTTTGCCGCGTAACGTCGCGCATTCTCCTTTTTGACGTCATCACATCATGACGTCACATCATCAATTTTGAAATATAGTGCTGTTAAATTTCTCTAACTTTGTTACATTTTTAACATGATGTATGGTGACATAGACTTTCTTGTCCTAAAGAAGCAACATTTACGCATGACGGCATTTATTTCAGCCTGCTATTCCATTTAGTTATGATTTTCTTTTCATCCGCATTCAGATATAGTTCGGCTACAGTGAAAATTATATTTTATAAATTTCACTAGTGGTTTATCAGAATATAATCATCTGACAAATTACAATAAAACACTGGAAAGCATGAAATAAAATCATTATATTTGGTGTCGAAGTTGATCCAGGCTTGTATATGATTGTGTTGATTGTCAAGCTCACAATGACAATAAAATTTCGTTAAAACGAAATAATTTTTCGTAATTACAGTTAATATAGAAACGAATTAATATTTCGTAAAAACTAATTAATATTTCGTAATTACGAATAAATATGTTGTCAAAACGAATTATTATTTCGTATAAACGAACTAATATTTTGTGAAAATATAATAAATATTTCGAAACTTCTAACCAATATTTCGTAAAAACGAATTAAGTGCCGGGAAAAAAAAGTGTTAAACATGTTATCTTAGGGGCTACGTATGTAACAAAGACTATCAGAAACAACAATTTTTCTGAGTTCTAACATGTCTCTGTTATTCAACACACATGAATATTAGAAATGTCAACAGAATAAAATGTTTCAACGTTGCTATTTTCAATAGGGTTTTAACAGTTTATCAATGATTTCGTGCCTCTGTCATTCGCTTTTGAGGCAATTTACTGTCATATTTCTTTCATACAAGCATTTTCAATTTAAATGTTTTTTTTAATTCAGACAATAATTTTGCTGCTGATATATATTATATAATAATATATTTTTTTCCTATTGTAAGAATTTTACATGTCTATGTTTGCAATAAGTTAAATATATATTTGTACCCCTAATTGAAATTTGAAAGATTCATGTACATGCTAATACAATCGTTATAACATTTCTATCATAATTATGATACGGTATATTCAGAGAACACGCCACCCATTCAGTATTACTTAAAATCAAGGAAAGGACTGACCAACCAAAAATGCAAGGTCGTGGCATTGTATATCTACCCGTAAACCATCACTCCTAATACGAGATCATGTCAATCCAGATTTGAACATTTAGTCAAGCTTCAAATAAATAAATAAATAAATAAATAAATAAATAAATAAATAAATAAATAAACTTTCAAAGAAGAAGAAGAAGATGAAGAAGAAGGAGAAGAAGAAGAAAACCAAATATGAATGGTCATATAATAAGAAGAACGGTAATGTATAATTATACTAACGCCATTTTGGTACAATATAAATATTGATATGAATCAAATATGTGGCGTTAGTGTATGTGAGATATTATTTCGGTATTGTATGAAACATTATAAGAACTGAAAATATAAATACAAATGCTTTTTATATCGTTGCTTTAAAAGGCTTTGCAAATAATATAATAGAGGGTGAAAACATAACAGCCGCATATACAAGCAGTCCCTAACCAGTGTTTATTTGCAGTTTAACACCGTTTTTTTCCCTTCTTTGTCTATAGTGACACATTCTCGTGAGTGTTAGAAAATATTTTATATATGGCCTGTTTGGGTCAGATTTAGAGGGCATTTTAAGATAAAGTAACAAGTAACAATTTTTAACCCTGTGATAATGAAGATAAGATACAGTCATTGTGTCATTATTTTATTTTCATCAAAAAATCTAGGACAGTAGTGTATAAAGTTTAATAATGTTTAAACTTCGGATTGTTTTCCTCGTATGTGTGACACTAGCAGTGGCTAATGCATTATCAATAGGTAACACTCGTTACATATATATAACTCTTAAAATGCATCAAACTTTGAGCATTTCAAATATTTTCCGTTTAAATAATCACGTTCGGCATTAAATGTGGTTCTGATAAGACTTTAGATTAGAAAATTGAAATATTTTGTAAAATCAAAACATGTAAATTGAAGAAAAAAGGAATCCCTAAAGAACGCCAATACGACACAATTTAATGTTGCAGGCTCGGTTTGATTGAGCCCGTTCATGAATGGAACTGTACAAACAAGTACAACATCGAGGCAGCCCAGGACGTTACCACCAGTTACAAGTAACATTTTATTGCACAAATAAACTTCTCTTTAGACACAAACACACACACATTCAAAAGCTTCAATTATAATGAAATGTGTTCTTGAGAATGAAACACGATACACTTTGATGAACGCGAGATGTAGATAATTCTTTTTAACGAGCTTGATTGTTAGAATAGCAGTATTATCCCCAGTGTTTTGTCATTTAGAATTATTTTGTGGATGGTCATGTTCAACTTTTGTGCACATTTTGACTCAAATAGCATTACTGAAATGAATACTATCCCACGTTTTGCCTTGCTTACTATTTGCACACATATACAATTTAAGCCATATATGGTCCCGAAACAGGAAAGATGACTATAGTTTATCTCAGGTGTTACAAACTTAGAACATCACATGGGATCAAAACCACCTCACTTGCTGGAACTAAGAGATGCATAGATCCCATTTAGACGCCTCTAACGATCATAAAGAGATGAACGGTGGCTTCAATACTCTTCCCTAAACACTTAAAGGCAACCCCTCAGCACAAGCTTTATTTAAGTAACTTACATTTATATATCACACCCGGAAAGCTTATGCTGTAATGATAAGTTCTTGTTACGGGTAGTTATTTTTCTAATACACGTTTTCAACAAAATCAAATGAGACGAGCATTATTTAGAGTTTAAACGTTCAGTATTCAAGAAATCGTCGTTCATTTCGTCAGATGAAAAATGTCCTCTCGAGTTTAGTTTAATTCCCATTTTAGCAACAGCTCAGATCATTGGAATGGGAGCCTTCAACAATCCTACAGGAATCTTCATTCACCGTTTTAAAAAAAAACTTAAATGAATAAAAGAACAAACACATATTAAATTATTAAATAGTCCTTACATTCAGCCGTTTAAAACGGCTTCCGCTCTATTTTCTTGTTTTTCAGCATACTACATTTTGAAATTTGCTTTATTAAAGTTACCTACATGTATATATCATACCCGACAGGCTTACGATCTAATGACAAGTTCTTGTAACGGGTAGTTATTTTTTTCTAATACACATTCTCAAAATGTGAAATGAGAAGAGCATTTTCAGGGTTTAAACGTTCAATATTCAAGAAATCGTCGTTCATTTCGTCAGGGGAAAATGTTCCTTTGAGTTTAATTTGTCATTTTTGCAACAGATCTAATCACTGTGAGCCTCTATCAGTCCTACTGGGAACTACATTGACCGTTTTTTGAAGAAAAAAACAACAACAACAACAAAAATTAAATAAATAAAAAGACAAACACATTATTAAATTATTAAAGAGTACTTACATTCAGCCGTTTAAAACAGCTCCCGCTCTATTTGCTCGTTTTTCAGCATACTACATTTTGAAATTTGAGCGTAAGTTTGCCGGATGTGATATAAGGTTTAGCATAAAAATGAGAATATATTGATTGATTTGCATTATTTCTTAATAGATATTTCAATTTTTAGCAACGTGTGCTGTATGTACAGGACCCCGGTTCCTATGTGAGCAACTATATGCCCCTACACCTTGCTCGCCGCCTAATAATTATTGTATCAACAAGTTAACAAATTACATTGATGGCACAAGGACGGTTGAAAGAAGGTAAATACAGATTATGTTTTGCCAAACAGGTCATTATACATGTAATCATCTTTTACTGCTATGTTTTGTTTTCTTAGACTTGTAATGCACAAACGTATTGCACATTTATGATAGGGATAGAAAAAATACGAAACATGCTAAAATTATGAGTTTATCTAGATAAATAAACTTATATTGTAAGAAACCACTTACTAACACAGTTGTCTACATATACACCTTACAGTTACCACCTTCTTCAGAAAGGCACCACCAACATATATTTTTTTTGTATTTAGCTGCGGGAACTTTTCTACATGCTATACAGACTGGTTCCTTGGATCATCGGATAACGATAAATGTAGACAATTCAAGGGCAGCGATTTCAACTTTCTTTCCTTTGAATGTACCTACTGCTGTGTTACAGACAATTGCAATATTCCAATCCATCCTTCAGTAGACACGCTATACAAGGATCTCTAATTTGTTGAAAAGAGTCATATTCTTAATTTATCACATACAACTGTCTTATTGTTTCCTTTTTTCAATTATGAGGCATAGCATGATACATGTATATTCAGGATCACCAATATCAGACTTAACAATTAATTTATAAGAACTTATCCATAATACTTTAAGGCGCAATATGTCTAAGAAATCAGTAAAATTTTAATTCTTTAGACAGGTTCAACATGTGTTCAATTATGTTCTAGTAATGGATTTAAAGCAAGTTAGATGTTAAAACAAATGAATGTATTAGCGCTGAAAATGAACTTGAACTTGTTAATTCTTATGAAAAGAAGATAAATTATATTCATTAATTTGTTTCACAGTTTGCCATTTAGGAACACATGACATAGTTACAACAGTCTTCATAACCCTATCAAATCCCGTTTTTTAGATCTGTTCACTGTTATCTCGTTTATTGCTTGAACTTTCATTTACAAGTTTAGGGACCATACAACGCCTTGTGGACTTAACGTTCTACGAGAAAAGCTAAATGTGTATATCGGCGGATTAAATATCTTATTTAAAAAATGCTCGAGCTGAACCTAGGGGCAAGGACGGTATCATGGATTTATTTATGCCGTTTAATGAACAATTTGAATGACATTAAGAAGGCGAAATTTTTACTTTTATAATGTTGGACGACCTACAGGCATTCTTCATTTGATTATTTTACTGTCCGTTTTCTTCTAAAGCCATTTTACGAAATAAAAAAGAGAAAAAGAAAACCAGGTTTCTGGTCGGTGGTCTTGTCTGACTGAGCGTTGTTACGAGCCAGGCGTAACGAGAAAGAAAAGCCAGCAACAAACTTGTAACAATAACAAATTTATTACAGAAAAATTATTAAAGAAAAATAAAATAACAAATAACTTTACAAATACCTGAAGTCCAAATAAAAATTGACAAATGTCTAGTCTTGCATCCTGGAATGATCCTTTTCCATAGCACAGTTAAATCCAAGTAAATCCAAGAACACTTTAGAATAAATTTCCCACAATAAAATCCACAAAGAAAATAATTAATAATCCAAGTTCCAATAAATCACTTAATTTCCAAGTTGAATAATACTCCAAATATATTGATGACTTAAAAGATCACTGATGACTTAAAAGGTAACTGATGACTTAAAGATCACTGATGATT